GCTGTGATTACCTGGACAATACATCCGGGGCTTGGACGTCCTGACACGCTCACAGTCTCCTTGACAGCCAGTCGTGGGGGAGAAGAATTCCACTCTCTCACATTTTCCATACGATAGTTCGAACCCAGGAGGACAGCACTCCACTATTTCATGCTCGATGGAAGTTTGGCAACGCAACCCAGGGCCAAAACCAATAGGAGTTGTTCCTGGTGGACACGATCCTTCTTCTTCAACGATTCTCTCACATAGATTTGGGTCACTGTTGCATTGATGAAACCCATCCGGACATGAAGATCCCGTTGCGAGTTCCATCTCACAGTGGCCATTCATCGGGTTTAAATGCGACCCTTGAGGACAAATCAGTTGAGGGGGAAATTCAAGCATCTTTTCACAAATTGGTTTGTGTTTGGAAAATTCTTGGAATCCTGGGGGGCATGCTGCCAACATTTTTTTGACTTTCTGGATACACTTGCTTTTGTCGTGAGACATTTTGAATTTTTTGGGACATTTTGGTTTGTTCGGCTTCATAGAGAAGCACTTTTTTCCATGCGAATCGAGTTGACTTCCTGGAGGACAGACAGGACTCGCCTCTCCCGTAGTTTCTTGTACGCATCCGTGTCCGTGTTTGTGCATCATGTACCCTGGTGGACATGATTTCGAGGCTTGAAGAGTCTGGATACATCTCTCATCCGGTGTCATGACGAATCCAGGAGGACATTGAAGACCTCCAACTTGCACGACTTCGCATCCCATTCCTGATTGGTCTAGTTCACCCTCCTCACACATCATTTCAGCTGGAACAATTTCTGTCACGATGCAACGATTTCCAGAAAGACGAAATCCTTCGGGACAATCACGTCGCCCACGTGTGAATTGAGCGCATTGTCCGTCAACCATTACGAATCCGGGCGGACAGACAAGATCGCCAGGAAGAATCTCATTCATGACACAGCGATTGTGCATCAAATCGAACCCTGGCGGACAACTCATCTCATGACGGACTGCCTGGATAACTTCGTGTTGGACTGGCATCATCGGCATCATTGGCATTGGCCGTGGAGCAGGAAGAGCAGCACCGCCATGTTTTTTCTTTTTCTTGAGATGATGCAACTCTCTTGTCGGATCATCATCATCATCATCATCATTCTCATATTTATCTTCTGAATCGAAATCAAGATCATCACTTTGGACCTCTAGTTCTTCAGCATAAGAGATCAACAAAAAACCAGCGAAGAGGAAGGGAAGTAATATCCGCATTGGAAGAAGTACAAGACGGAAATTGACGGAGAAGAAAAAGGTGCTGCTGCAGTTGAAGGTGCTGCTGCAGTTGAAGGTGCTGCTGCAGTTGAAGGTGCTGCTGCAGTTGAAGGTGCTGCTGCAGTTGAAGGTGCTGCTGTAATGGAATGGGACGTCAAACACTCAACAAGACAAAAATACGAAGTGAGAGAGTGAAGAGATAGAAGGCAAACACGGGAGACGCCCTGTTGAACGAATGTCCCAAGCATGTTCGAAAATTAAGTACAAAAAAGCACGGAAGATTGTACTGTGAATTGCAGGTATCGTTTTATCCTGGTGGATTTGATGACGCCTTCACAATCGACTTTGAACTCTTCAGTGCTTTGTCGCCTCCAGCCAACAATACTTCCTGAAAAATGATCATTACGAGGACCAGGGAGTCGATCCTCACGTCGGATTTTCGTCCGCCTCCTCCTTTGACTGGCTTCACGATGTTGAGTCTCTTCGTCACATTTGCTTTTAAAAAAAATACCAAAAATGAAACGGGGAGGGCATTGCTTGAGTGAACTGACGTGCGTTGAATGAGTTGTAGAAATTCCACAAGGTTGATTCGCTCGAATCACCCAGAGCTTCAAGTTGCGATATTTTCATCGGAAATTCATCGAATTTGAGCTCTGAAAAATGGATTAAACGCGTTGAGAAAAACAGGACCCTCACCGCCATCTATTTTCTCTCCCTCCGAGGTGGATGGGAATATGGAGCTGGTGTCGAGTGACTCGCTTAACGATTGACAGGTCGAAAGCAAGCGTTCATATTTATGACGGGAATCCCTCAAATTACTATAAAACGAAGAACCTTCAGATCCATAATCTGTCTGAAAGCTCACGTTTCCAACTGCGATATTGTACGCTGCTTTTCTTCAATCCTTTGGTGCTTTTCTTTCATCTCTAATTTGAGACCTGAACAATAACATACGCTGCTACTCCTCTCTTTCTCATCAGTGACTCTGTCTATGACTCTCTTATGCTTACCGGCGTTCTTATCAACCAAATTTTGGTACATCGTCGTTAATTGTTGCAGATGGACATCAATCTCTTCCAACTTTTGTTGAAATGGTTGATCAGTGTTCTGTTGTATCACACACAATCTCATCGCTTCTATTCCAGCTTAAATATGACGGTACTTGTTTTTATACCTGGCAAATCGCTCGAAGTGCTTTTGTTCTTTTCCTTTCGTCTGCCAACACCTCTTGAAGACTTGTGAGCTGCGCTTTCAGGTGGGAAATTTCCTGGCAACAAACATGACTGCCACATTCCAATCAACACTAACCGTTTCCTGGTCGTTCTCATCAGTAGCATCACTCGTTGACATCGTCTGAAGCGCAGTGTTCCAGTTGTTTATTCGCTTCGATTTACTTGTACATCAGGGATCCGTGGTACCTCAGGGGGTTTCAATAAGAGGTCGGCAAGTTGTGGCAGATGAGCGTGTTGTTGGCGCTTCAGTGTTTTCGTTAGTTCAGCATTCCGAGATTTCAACTGGAGCAAGCAGAAGAAACATTCGGGTCTCCTTGTCGAATTCTCACGTCAGAAATTTCTTGGGATTGTTCCTTCAGCCGCGTATTTCTAATAGAAATTTCCTCTTGAAGATCGAGAAGCTCAGCAGTCGCTGCAAGGATGGATGTTAAATGTGAGAATCATGGAATTGAATTCACCCTTTGCTGAACCATGTGGATTCAATCGCGAAGAGTCTTGAGCAGACGGATCCATCTGAGTTGCAGAACCTGAGCACATGAGACATCTTGTTCTGTAGCGTTCAGAAGACCGTCATGATGTCCCAGTAGAAAATTACCTTTTTCATTTTCATCTGGGAATTCAATGTTGTTGGCGGTCAGAAGAGACTTTAGCGTCACGATGTATTTTCGTTGAACTTCAATCTTCGATTCTGCCTTGGCGAGCAAGTGCTCAACGGCTTCAAGGGAACGTCCCTATCGATAGTCGTCAAGCAGGATAATCCCCAGCACGACTCACCTCGTTGATGACCGCTTTATTCAGGATCAACTTCGCTCGCTGACCGAACCGGAGTGTTGAGAGTGTTTCTGCTTCGTTCAACGCAGACGGTGAGACGGTGCAGATCAAACATGTTTTCGAGTTTCCACCGAGCGTTTCCTAGAGAGAGAAAAATCTTGCAATCTCTTCCGATAGAATTTTACCTCTAAGACTCGCGTAAGTTTAGAGTCGCGATAAGGAACGTGTGAACTAGAATTTCTTCCAGAAGACGTCAACGAATTGATGACGTTTCCTGACGGACGGAATCAAACCAGATGAATGCGAATGAGATTTTCCAAAATCTTGATCACTTTGAGAGTAATGTGGAAGACTTCGTGTGGCAGGTGAATAGAGACTGTATTTAGGATCCTACCCAGACATGCCAGCGACTTGTTTATCATTTTTGCCTCATCTAATGTTTGTCCCTCAGCTCCACTTTTCCCAACTTTCTCGCTTCCCGCCAAATCTACAAGATAGAGTTTCCCCGTCTGTTGATGCACAATGGAAGGAGTTGAAAACAGATTAAGATGACAAAGAATGCGGCAGAAGATGAGCACATACTTTTACTGAGAGATCGTAAGTGTTTCTCTGCTGCACGGTCAAGCAGAAAATTAAATGTGAACGTGATGATTGAGCATTCATCGCGGTTCCGGCGGTAGCACGATTGATCTGAACTGGGATGCATGAGCACATGCACTTTGTACCGCACAAACCTGCCCGGTTCTTATACAGTTATAGATATCTTGTGGAGTTGTTACAAACCTGCGATTACACGCGTCTTCTCTGTGTTCGAATCAATACTCACCATTCTGATAAATCTTCCACAAAGATTCCTCGATTTGGATCTTCACGAATTCGCAAATTTGTCTTCGATGGATCAATTAAATCCTTTAATTTCTCGTTATAAATTTCCAATATAGAGACCTAAGCAGAATTGAAATGCATCTTATTCCCTCATATTGCGTTTCCATACAAACATCTCTGAGGAGAACACCTTACTTTCAGCTGGAACTCAATATGCTCATCAGCGTTCACAATATGGCTAAAAACGGATTGCACTGTGCGAGGAATTATTCCCCTTGAATCAGAAGAAGCAACTCCTAAAAACCAAACACATCCAGGTTGAATCGAATCACTTCACCACCTCGATCTGATGAAGCATCGTCTCGACACATCCCCAATGATCCAGCTGCTCCCTCCATTGTATACGTTTTTCCGCTACTAGTTTGCCCGTACGCTAGAACAGCCCCATTGAATCCTTGAAGAACAGATTCTACAGTAGCTTTTGCACCCGATTCGTAAACCTAAATGCAATAAATCCTCATCGAATAGCAGCTTCTCACTTGCCTCTTCTTGGGTTGCCTGGCTGTCGAAGACCCTGTCCATCACGAAAGACCTGTCCGCTCCACCAGGGTGCAAGATGAGGCACTGAGTCCCCATTACATTCATCACAGTATCGGAATCATCGGGTCTAAATGGAGCAACGGTTAGAATTCCTCCTCCTTCACCAAGAAAAGAAGGATCCTTTTCGAGTTCTTGAATGGAAGGTGGGCGAACACGAACACAGACCCTTATCGACTCCCGGTTGTTGGATTTGGCCATAACTTCTAAATGAAATTGTTTCTAGAACTTTCCTGGTATCTCGAGGAGAGTTTATGTTCTCGAGTTCGTTGTGTCGTTGATACAAAAAACAATAAAAGCGAAAGATTTGACGATACTTCAATCATCGTCCAAATGAAAAAAGTTCCCAGATAGCTTCTGTTCCCGATCTTTCACGGAGTCGAGCTTGTTTATCCGTGGACGGAAGTTTGTCGGGTCGCGACGGAACGAGATGTCGAGCATTTTCAAGAAGCGATTCATTCCAGTAACAAGTGGTTCAGGGGAGCGAGCGAAACAGTCAACTCTGACGCAAATGAAGAATTTCAATGAAAAGAACAATGAATTGAATGTAGAGCTCAAATAGAAGGCGGTATCTCAAGTTCCTCATGTCTTACCCTGGTTCACCATCATAGACGACAACTCGGTCAGCCAAATAAGTTGCCATGATAAAATCATGCTCAACAACAAATGCTGTTTTTTTCGCATGAAGAATATATCTGAGGATAGAAGATCGTTAAAAATACATGCGTCATCATAATTTGTCTCTGATTTTTGAGCCACTGTTGCCGTACCGTTTAATAACCTTCGACGCCATAATGCGCTGTTCGGAATCCAAATAAGCAGACGGCTCGTCGATCAGATAAATGTCTGCCGGTTTTCCAAGTGCAAGAATCAGCGCGACTCGCTGAAGTTCACCACCTGAAACGATTTGAGGTGATCATTCGAATGACACCAGCAGCGTCTACCTGAAAGGACTTGAACCTCCTGATCCAACAGTTGATCAATTTGTAGCGGCTTCACAACATCAGTTAAGAACTGAGGATGCCCGAACGCCTCTCGTATTTTCGTATGAAACAATTGTCTCACGGTGCCTTCAAACTTCGCTGAAATTGTTTGAGGCTTGTAGCTGACATGCAATCTTGGAAGCTCAGCGTCCTCCTCGTCTGGCTTCAGCAGTCCTGCTAACATTCGAATGAATGTTGATTTCCCAGTCCCATTTTGTCCCAACATCACAATAATTTCAGAATCGTTGAAATCGCCAGGTTCAACAGTCAGGGAAAACGTTCCCAAAGTCTTCTTGAGCGCTGGATATCTATAGAAACTTGATCGCTGCAACACAAAAAGGGTCTCTCATATCCAGAATGCAACTACCCTTCCTTACCTTGATCTCTTCATCAGTATCCTGCGCTAATCTGAAGTTTAACGACTCTTCTCGAAAGCGAAGATTTTCTGCATCATCAAAAACAAAGATGCGATAATGGGAGACGACATTAGATCCCAAGCAAGAACACAAGGCCCCGCTTAAGTACCTGTTGGGATAAAACCATCCAGAAACACGTTGATTCCTTCTCGAACGCTGAAGGGCATCGTAACAACGCCGTAATGGCCGGGCGATCCCCACAAGCAACAGACATAATCAGAGAGATAATCAAGGACAGAGAGATCGTGTTCCACCTAAAATGTGCAGCAATGGAATGTCTTAATCCTTCCATCAGTGATCGATATCCTTAAGACTACACACTTACAACGATGATATAATTATCACAACTTAGTAAGTTGCGAATCACTCTAGCCGCTTGAAGACGCTGTTTGACATCAAGATACGACGATGGTTCATCAAACATGTAGACATTCCCATGTTGAATTGCCGTGACAAGAATGGCGAATCGTTGCAACTCCCCGCCAGAAAGATCACTAACATTCCTTTCCAGCAGATGGCGTAAATCTAGATTGTCGACCAATTCTTGGACATTCGAAACTTGTCCCTTCTGCTCGATAATTCGACCAACTTGATCCCGAGTTTGTTTTGGCAAAACGTCAACATATTGAGGTTTCATAAGAGCCTGAAAATAAAACGAGTGATGATATCATGAGTAGAGATAGATGTGTTCGCATTTACCTTCAAATCATCCTCTAAGACGCGAGTGAAATAGTTTTGAAGTTCTGACCCTCGGAAATATTCTAAAATCTCTTTCCACTCAGGCGGGGAATCAAAACGTCCAAGATTCGGTTTCAGTTTTCCAGTCAAAATTTTCAATGCAGTCGACTTCCCAATACCATTCGTTCCAACGAGACCCAACACCTAGAAATCAATCATCAGTATCACTCAAATATCGCTCTCACTTGTCCCGGCCTTGGCATGGGCAAACGATGAAGTTTGAATGAGTTCGGCCCGAAACGATGCGTCGTTTCTTTCCCCAAGTCTTTCGGTAAATTAATAATTGAAATGGCTTCGAAGGGGCATTTTTTGACACAAATACCACATCCAATGCAAAGGGGTTCCGAAATAAATGCAAGTTTGGATGAGGCTTCGACCTCAATGCACATTTTCCCCGTGCGATTCACGGGGCAATTCTTTTTACACTCCTGGCGACATTTTTTGGGCTTGCATCTGTCACTGCTGACGATAGCGATACGAAGGCGAGCCTCATCAGTTGGTTCTTCCTTCTTCCCGCCTTTCTTCGGTGGCATTCTGTTCGACGATCTAGCGAACCTGCGACAGATGATGGGACAGAAATGACGATCTGTCTGCAGAATGACAGAATCTGCATTTCGGAGGGGGAGGATGGCCAAACAAGCTCCTTCCTTAGGAACCGTGCCATTGGTAGTTTACGTTCTTACTTTTGGTCTCATTTTTGGGAGAGCAGAGGTTGAATCAGACTTTGATGTTTCTTCCCATACGAGCGCTCATGGGCTCTCAAACGAAAGTCTTGTTTTCAAGAAGGCAGATGAATTGCAAAGTTTTTCCCAAATAACTGATCTTCTGAGCCACATCAATCAAACACTCCACGACCCTGTGACGCAACATTTTGTTCCTCTTCTTCGAGGAATGAAGACAAAAATAGAAGGACATCAAGGTGGACAGAATCTACTGTTCTCGGAATACCAGTTCATTCTCGTTATTAGTGCGTGTGTTGCGATGCATCTCATCCAAATGATCATTGATCTTACTGCTGAAGGACGAATTACGATGAGCTCACAGTACTCGACTTGCATCATGCTTGGAGCGAATTTCAGAGATCTTGGTGAATCCCTTTTGTCAACTCTAGCACGCTTTTTCACTTGTGCTTTTTTGCATGGTGACTTGATGCATCTATTTTGTAATTCTCTCTCTATTGCTTTGTCATACAAATATTTAGCTGATGGGATTCATCCACAAAATACTTGGACTTTTTTCTGGACATTTCCTCTCTTCATGACGTCTGCATTCTGTGGGAGTCTTTTTTCGTACATGACAACTTTGAGAACAAGCGGGTATTCCGTGGGTGCATCGGGTGAGAAGGAAACGCTGAGATGGAGACGTCCTTCATTCTTTCCCAGGTGGATGTCTCGGACTTGATTGTAGCTTTCTTCTTTTTTCTGTTGTACTGGAGGGAATCCCAGCATCAAAACAACAACGATTTTTCCAAGCGGTCGCATCTATTGTCGCGAGTTGTGCTCCGTGGCATCGTCTATGTGAGTGAATGTCCCAATTTGACAATGGCATTGTCTTCTTCACCAGACGGAGAAGCAAACGAAAATGCAATTGACTATGGGGCACATTTTGCTGGAACTGTCGTCGGAGTCTTGATGGCGGGTCTTCTACTCCTTGTACAAAACCGTTCTGATAAGGCTTTGTTGGTTCGATTGGCGAATGCCAGCAGTACGGTGCTGCTTGTACTCCTTGCTCTTTCTTATTTGCAAATCTCCTTCGACTTTCTTGATCATGGCAACGAACTGCTCGCTAGAGCTCGTCGAAAATGGCTGGGGGGGTCCGAGGAATCATTACCACTGATAGGAGAATAGCAAGGGCGCCCAAGGTCTTCAAACTCATTCCAGGAATGGAGCAATCCCCTCAAAAGTCAAACATTGGAATGCAATTTTTTGTCTTGAATGTTCCGCTAATTCACAAACAATCGAGGTGATGAGAGAAGAAACATACGAGAGGTTCAAAAAATGAAGAAATTGGCAAAATCAGGCCTTCCACAATTTAAATGCCAATCGTGTACCAAATAGGAAAAATGTTGAAGTCTTTACGCGTAACGATATTCAGGAGTTGTGTAGGCGGGACGATGCTTCCGTTCACGCTGAGCTTCTATATAATTGTACCCCATTCTCATTTTCTCCTCGTCCCTAAAACACAGACCAGAAATAAACAGTATACGTGAAATCCATCCTAGTACTAACAGAAGTACCAACTAAAAGCGATACTTACCATTTGCATTGACGCCATTCAGCAAACCATTTCATGCATTTCTGTGAAGCTTGTTGAGGATCCTGACGAAGAAATTATTCCAAGAAGTGGCTCAGATTTGACGCACCATTTCATATTGTTGTTGACTTAAACACTTTTGTTCTTCAAGCATTAAGTATTTACATGCATCGTTGGGACGATTTTGATGCACTTTGAGAGAAAAGTCATCGACTTCTCGACGAATCTCATCAACTGTTTTAGCTGGTTGAAATGCAGCTGGATGATAAAGCCTGAATACGAACAAACATGAGAGTAATGGCCGTTGGACATTTTCTAAAGTGAAACTGTTATTGACGTAGAAACGATTTTTAACTAATATCGCACCCATGATGATAAGCTAGATGCTTTTCCCAAGTCGACTCAAAACGAGGGGCAGATCTGAAACCTTCAGCTGGTAACGCAGTTGAGCCGACATGGTGATCGTCATCATGGCCTGCTCCATGATAAGGGACTCTACAATGACATCGCTTGTCAGGAATCTGTATTTTCTGGCGGCTTAGTCTATACCTATCGGAAGGCCAGGGATAAGCGTGGCTTTGATGGGAGCGCTGATCACGCTGCTCTCGATGGGGACGCCCTCCACTCTCTTGTGTCTGCCAAATCGGAGTTCAAGAGTCGAAAGACGAAAAAGACGTACGAGTGGAACAACGCCTTGAATAAACGTCTCTAGTTCTGTAGGTTTGGGGGGTTTCTGGGGCAAGAATATCACAAATTGTTCAAAATAAGATCATCAACAAATTACCTCCAAGAACTTGGAGAACATTCCAAGAACATTCTCTGATTTTCCGACATCTTGTTTCACCTCACATTTGGTTGGCCGGAGCGTCAATACTAGAAATTGGAGAAGTGAAATGGATGAAGAGGGGTTTCGCTTACAATGGCGACAATGACCCAAAATGGAGTTCCCGTAAACCATCAGATTCAGCATTTGGAGAAAGTTCTGGTTTGAGGTCGTCCACTTGGGATCAGGCGCAAAAAATATATTAAAGAAAATTGGAACACGAAATTAGAAAAAGCGCGAAGCGGCTTGATTAATTAACTGCGATATCAGAGTCGATGAATTTGATGATTCCAAAGTCGTTGAGGACTTTGGATCTTGGGACTTAAAGATCGCTTCGGAAGGGGGGGGGCTTGACTGTCCCGGTTCGTCACCTGAAAGAACAATTTATCGAAGAGAGAGAGGTTCACGTACGAATAAGAGTTTGGGGAGCTTGATATCGAACGGGCTCAATAGAAGAGAGATATCCACCCTCTTGAAGGTGAAACGGCCGGCTGCTATGGGACGCAGTGCTGTGGGACGCAGGATAGCCGTATGGAAACCTCCAAAGAGGAGACTGATACAGAGGGAAGGATTGAGTGTTGTTCGATTGATGGAAAGACCGATGACGAGGGTTACTGGGGGAATGAGGATATGAGGGAAATTGGGAAGGAATTGATCGATATCCGCTAGAAGCCCAAGCGGATGATGCTGGAAATCCAAGTCGATAGTCATGATTGAGTGATGAACCATTCCGTCCTTCTGGAGCGTCATCAGATCTACTTTGCTGAAATGTTTGATCCAACTGCTGGGTGGCATTTCTAATTCTTGTGTCATGGAGGAAGGTATTGCCTCTCTGACTTCGAAGTGATGGAATCGTTCTCACTTCAGATGGTGATGGATGGCCAACAACGTAATAATCAGATTCATCTTTGTTGACGCATTTAAGAAGAGGATTCGGTTTTGTATCTTGGAGAAAAAGAGAATGTCGGTCGCATCAATAGATGAATTAATTACCTGGACCTGTTTCCACTCGATCTAGGCTAGTAGCAGGAAGCACGCGTTTGCGACTTTCCCTTTGTTCTCTCGCACGTTGTTCTTCTTGTTCTTTCGCTTCTTGTACCAGCGTCTCAATATCAATATCTAGAAGAGGCTAAGAACAAACTGGCGATGAGTGGTTTGAAACCTTCTTACTTCGACAAAACCAATCGGAATGTCAACACTTTCAGCTTGTTTCACCAACATGCGCCCAATCTCCGTTTCGTCGCAATCGCCAGAACTCTTCAGGGACTTCAAAAACTTAACACCATCCTCAAATTTTAGACGAAGCAAAAACCTTTGAAGAACCTGCAAGAATTTTATATATACAACAATTGATGACGAAATGTGTCAATGAACACACCCTCAACAAAGCGACCGTCAGTGGAATAAGACTGGGCAAGCCTTCAGCAAGGAGAAAATCCCACACAACAACGACGGTACGTAAAGGAAGTCCTCTCACATAGAGCGTCAGAAACCTGACAGCAATACAAGCATCACTTGCTGCTTCGAAGCAATTACCACTGATGGAGATAGATGGGGGGAGAGATTCCCTCCGCGTTAAAATGCTTCCACAAGTCAGGAACCACTTCCAAAGCGACACCATCGCAGGCTGAGAAAATGAAATTCTTTTGATCATATTTCTTTTCCGTCACCTTCAACGTATTTCGACAAGAGAGGAAAATTCTCTCTAAAGAGACCTTCAACTCCATAAACTTCAAACAGAACAACGGTTGCAGAAAAAACTTCAAATTCATGAAAATCCGATACGAGAAGCAAAAATCCTGAAAAAGGGAAAAAGAAGGTTGAAATGCGGGAGAGTGGCCCCATAACATACCCACTACGAAATTCATTCCTTGACAGTAACCAACGCTGGGGCGATGGTTGGCGTAAGCATTCTGATGTAAAATTGAGCGATGTTTCAAGAGAGGAGGATAGAGTTCGTATGGCGAGGAAACGACTAGAACTCACCAGAATTCGGGACAACTTCTGTTGAGCGGCCACGTCGAAGAGAGAGAGTTCTGGGAATGTTCTGGAAAAGGGACGGCGAATTACAGAAACATGATTGCGGGATTACCGTGGGACATCAATATTGATCAGATTTTGAAATTGTGATGACTGTTTGGATAAATTCAAATAGTCCTGCATGGTGAAATTAGGGAGCGAGAAAAAGGGATTGGAATCTACTGATTGACTGTCAACTGGTACGGGAAAATCTGGAGAAGACGGTTTTGAATTTGGTGAGGCATCTTTAGAAACGGATCCATCCGATCCCCCTTCTCTAGAAGGAGAATGTCTTTCAGGGGAGGGAGGGGGAGAACTTCGTGAACCTCGAGGTGAAAGTAAACATTTTGACCGAAGCAAAACCTTCCAAATTTCCCAACGAAAATCTTGTGGCGCCCCTCTGAACACATCAAAGGCATTAATTCCCCACAAATCTAA